ACTTTTATAGTCGTGGGCTTTATAGCCTTGCCGAGATTTCGCTCGAGGCATTCAACTTTGTAGTTGTTTGAGTCAACTTTTATAGTCGTGGGCTTTATAGACTTGCCGGGATTTTGCTCGAGGCATTCAACTTTGTAGTTGTTTGAGTCGACTTTTATAGTCGTGGGCTTTATAGCCTTACCGAGATTTCGCTCGAGGCATTCAACTTTGTAGTTGTTTGAGTCGACTTTTATAGTCGTGGGCTCTATAGCCTTGCCGAGATTTTGCTCGAGGCATTCAACTTTGTAGTTGTTTGAGTCGACTTTTATAGTCGTGGGCTCTATAGCCTTGCCGAGATTTCGCTCGAGGCATTCAACTTTGTAGTTGTTTGAGTCGACTTTTATAGTTGTGGGCTTTATAGCCTTGCTGAGATTTTGCTCGAGGCATTCAACTTTGTAGTTATTTGCGTTAACCAGCTTTATAGCCGTTCTGAATGACTTGATTTTTTTGTTTATGATAAAATCGACATGGAAATATAAAAAATCCCAACTTAAACATAAAATTGAGAGTCATTGCATTACTGAATTTGATTAGCCATTGTTCAGTACAAAAAGAGTTTGAAATACTTAGGCATAAAAGAGTTTGAGATGAATCACGTGCCAGGATCGCGGCAACTGTCGTCCTTCGCCATCTTCGAGTTCGTATGCGCCTCTTTCGAGCACTTTGGTGATGGTGTAAGGTCCTTCCCAGTTGGCTTCCAGCTTCCCGACATGTTTAAGAGCATCTGCTCGCTTGAGGACTCTCCCACTTGAAATCGTCTGGTGCGGACTTTCCTGTCAAAGGCTGCACGCATCTTCTGCTTGTACTCCACGGATCGCAGCCAGGCTTCCTCTCGCACTTCTTCTATCATGTCGAGGGCTTCTTTTGCTAACTCTTCATTGGTTTTTTTTGTATAGAATGTCGACCTGTGAGATTCCAAGCCGACTTCAATGGGCAATAGAACGTTCATTCCATAAACCATGTGGAATGGTGATTGTCCTGTTGAACTTCTTGGGGTCGTCCTATAGGCCCATAGGACCGCTGTCAGCTCGTCGACCCATGCACCAGATGCTTTTTCTAATCTTTTCTTTAGCCCCTGCAGGATGGTTCTGTTTGTTACTTCGACTTGGCCATTTGCCTGTGGGTGCACAACCGAGGTGAATCGCTGCTTGATCCCCATGTCGATACACCACGCCTAGATCCGTTTTCCTTGAAATTGTGTTCCATTATCCGAAATCAAGATTTTTGGGATCCCGAATCGACAGCATATATTATTGAACAAGAATTGTATCATTTTGTCCTCGGTGATTTTTGTCAGAGGCTCTGCCTCCACCCATTTACTAAAATAGTCGATAGCAACCAC